GGTAGGGGGGGGCGCCTACTACTACTCACGTCACCACGCCCGATGAGCACCTGTCCTATCTTTCCAAACGTTGGTCCCAGGGGCGACAGTTCCGGCTTGAACTTGCCTTTGTTATTCCTTGTCGCTTTCTCCGGCTTCTTCTTGCCTCTTTCTGATCCATCTTCCCTCTTCTCCCCCGCCTCGTGCCGCTCGTCCCACGCTTTCATCCGGAAGGGTCTAGCGCAAAATGACAGCGCCTGCCATGCGTTCGGGCATGCCCCCGGTTGCAATTGGCCTCTACCTCTTCGTGCCGAAGCTTGTTGGTGGGCTTGCGGGGGCACCCCCAGGCTGCAATCGACCTCTTCGTGGCGAACTTTGTTGTAAGGTTTTCCGGGGCACCCCCCGGCGCCAAACCACCAGCCCACCAGCCCCTAGCCCAGACCCTAGTCTTGCTGCTACGATTGCTGCTGCTACTGCTGCTACTGCAACTGCTGTTGCTATTGCCACTACTGCAACTTCCTGTACTCTACTACCATCCACTGCCGCTCTACTATTGCCGCCACCACCACAGCAGGAATTTGATGGTATATTCACTCGTGTATTCACGTTTGTCGGCCAATCCACGACTTTGGAATGTGCCGCAAGCTGCGCGAAATTCTGCGTCTGCTATTGCTGGAACTCCCGCGGGGTCGTGTTGATCTCGCTGTTGTTGTTTTGACAGGTGCAATCGCTGCAGCTTGAAGCGAAAGACCTTGCAGATCAGCTTGCGAAGATCTCCACGCCAATCGCTGCAGAAGGACAAGCATGTATGTGTTCGTCTTGCTTGTTTCTGTCGGAACAAGGGTGAGGCTACTCAGCACACGTAGAGTATTGCTGAATTGAGTTCACGAGCACGGGCTCTTCAATCCGGACTTCGTTCGACCGTTCGTTTGCCGCGGTCGAAAAGTGGTTGAAGATTCGCTCGAACCACACTACACCCGGTGCGAACGATCGGAGAATATGTGTTTGCTCCACAAGGGGGGCTTGCTGGAGGCGGTGGTAAGCCGGTGGGGTGTGATGTGATCGACATTTCGCGACCCTCGTGGCCCCAGTTCGTCGAGTCGAGACGGCAGATTCATCCTCTCAGCCCCAACGAGCTGGTGTCTGTTGACGTATCCGGACCTCGTGCTGGACTCGTGTTGCACGCTACCGAATACACTTGGTGGCACTAAGTCAATGGCACACCATGCTGGCTGGACCCCTGCATACTCTTGCAGTAATTGTTTCCTTGCTGCTAACACGCAGAAATTGCTGGCCTGTAAAAGCTGGTATCACAAGCAGAGAGAGAGAGAGAGAGAGAGAGAGAAAAAGGGACAGCGAGAGCTGTGTGGAAGAAGACGAGAGAGAGAGAGAGAGGTGATGTTCCCTTATTTTCCTGTTTACCCTTCGCCTTCTGTTTCCCGACCCGAAAGGCAACAGCTTCGGTCCACAGCAACACCACCGGCACGGGGACCTCCCCAAAAATGTCTGAGTGTTCCCCTATCGTTTTTGTCTGTGCCCCTTGCTTCTCCTCAGGGGGCCCGTGCCGCACACAAGCAACACACTCCACAAACCCGCTGTACAGCAACAGTAACGACCGACCAAGCTCCAGAGAACAACCCGTGTTGTGACTACTGTTGTCCTAAATTGAGTTACCTGTATGCGTTTGTTACCGATCCTTGGAGCACCGCATCCCTGGCATCCCTTGCAACGACAAGGGAACGCACTGAGACATAGCACAGAGTGGGAGTCGGCACCAGCGAACCTGCCCAGGCGGGATGAGCAAGGGTTCGGGGACTTAATGGGAATCTCGGGGCAGGAGGTGCCGACACCCCAAGCAGCTTTCACCCCGATTGAAAGACACCAGACCTTGGCGTAGCGCGAGAGCGCAAGGGTTGGGGTCCTAGGGCCCCGCCCCAAACGCCGTGCAAGCAAGCAAGCAAGCAAGCAAGCAAGTGAGACAGAGAGAGAGCGGGAGGGAGAGAGAGGCCCGTTTAAAAGCCCGAGAAACGGGCGGGCCTGGTGCCCGGGGGGCTTAACTCGCCCCTTATGCCTGGGAGAAGAAGAGAGAGAGGGGGAGAGAGAGAGAGAGAGAGATAGATATATAGAGAGAGAGAGAGATATATATATATATCATATCATATCGATATCGTTTCGACCGTTTTTGTGGCTGGGCATGTGGGGTTATGCATGTCCTGGATGTAACTGCATCGTGGGCATCGCGGCTATGCATAGATAGCATGAGACCTGGCCTGCCCAGGAGAGGAGGAGCCAGAAAAGCAGGCTCGGGCAAGTTGTGTCCGGCCTTGCCAAGCTGCTAGTTTTTCGTCGAACTCTGTAAGTAATTTTCGCCGAACTAGGCTAGTCAGTTTGTTCGTGTTCGTTCTTTGTGATCCTTGGCTCTGCACGGTACAACGGTACAACAGACGTGCTCCCGCATCTCCCGCTATTTCCATCGATACAGCAACCAGATTGTCGGGGAAACGTAATAGGCATAGGCAGACCGGGCTTGGAAAGTTAAAACGAGTGCAGATGTGGGGAAAGGCACAGCAGGCGAAGACGGACGAGCAAGGCATTCCGTGTGGAGAGTGTCACCGGCAAAGTGACCAAAGACCGGATGCAGGCACTCCCACCAAGCTTTCGGATCGGCTGAGCTGGGAGAAGATCGAGGCTGTGTGGAGCCGTGTGTTTGCCTGTGCTCGTGTGAGAGATTCTGAGATGTGATGTGCAGGCCATGTCAAACGAAGAGCGGTTTGCATTATCACAGGCGAAGTGAGCAGTGCATGCCTGCAAGACAACGTGCAACCTGCTCATCTTCGCAGGAGGTTGGTCCAGCATTTGGACTTTCCGTGGCCATTGTGGCCGTATGTTACTGGTGTGAGACTTACTGCAAAAGTCCATTCTGCATTGTGCAGTTCCGGGATGATGTGGGTGAGTTCTGGCTCGTTGTTGAACAAGCTTCATCGAGAGGTCCATCACGCTTCCTGTACTCCTCAACGCCTATCATGACAGCACGGGCGAATGGCCTCGTGTCGAGGATTCTGGAGAATAGAGTGGTGCGCAATGATGACACGCTGCAGCCCACAACAGCCCGCTGCCAGGAGATTTTCTCGCTTTCGGATGGTGGGAAAGCTGCCGGCGCCGTCGCAGGCCGGACAAGAGAGAAGAGAGAGAGGAGCAGAGGAGACGCTGAGCCATGCTGAAGGCATTCTGGGCCTGGCCGCCTTGCTGAAGCCTCTGCGAATTGCCTGCGCCATCGCCCTTACGCCCTGGACGGCCCGGGCCCCGGCCCGGGGGCGGAGCGAGAGAGAGACAAAAAGCGGCTCATAGTAAGCGTCTTCATAGCGGCATATGTAGTTTTTTTTTCTTTTTTGCGTGTCTCCAGGCTGACAACGTGCTGCCTCTCGTGCCCTGGTCAGCTCTCAGCCGTCTCAGCTCTCAGCCGTGAGCCGCTCCGTGCTGAATCGACAGGCTCTCACAGAAGAAGGAGGACTGGGAAAAGGGGACAAGGTCACATAAAGTCACTGCGACCTGTCCTTTGCTGAGGACGGAGCTGGAAAGGCTTAAGACGCGCCACCAGCTTCACGGCCCGCGAACTATTTTCCAGTACATCCAGCAATATGTGAGTGCTGCCCGCCTTTTTCACTACTTGTCGCGACTGGTCGATCGGACGTTCGGTCGCTTCGTCGCAGCTCCGATTGAAGAGGTGAGTCTCGGAGGCAGGTAGAGATAGCATGACAACTGTGCAGCCGAACCTGTGCATCGCAAAAGATGTTGTCATCAGCAAGATCTGTGGACGCATTCAGTGGGGATGAAGCTTGGACATGTAGACAGTTCGAGATTTGTAACGTCCCGAAATTGCGAGGAACGTTAGATATGCAGGGATGCGGGAGAAGCGGACGGTCTGAACACACACTGAGGTTGTTCTCTCAGCGCAAGCTAGGTGTGCCGCGATGCAATATGTGTTGTCCGAAAAAGAGAGACAAGTGATTTCTGATAAAGTGATAAAATGCAATGATGATTGTGGACTTGTCCGGCAACCTATATGACAGGTTGAAGCATGACAGCAAGAGATGTGTTGACACCTGAGCAGCGTTTTTCGACACTTCCGTCTCTTGACGGAAGACTGCAGCTGCACAATGCTGCACGCAAAGCTTTCACTCGATCGGGAAATATCTCTGCGACGGTGCGCATTCAGGGAGGCGGGTGCAGCAGCAACAAACATGCAAGCCGCCGCGCCCGAAGAATGCATCTGCAGTAGAAATGCGCTTACAGAATAGAACGAGGTAGCGTCATGCGTCAAGAGGGCTTATGCTCTTGCGGAAGGGTTAGCTTGCAAGCAGTGGCGGAAGGGTTGCGCGGAAGGGGTTTTTGCGTCCTTGGGATTAAACCTCGAAGACCATGGACCCGCGGAGCGAGGCGCCAGGGCGAGGCCAGGTGGTCGTATGTCGACAGCCAGGGAAAGATTTTTTTCGTGACTTATGCCGTTGAACAGACCCTTTTCCTGACCGACTTGAAACCAAGGTGTTGAGAAGCGATAATAAGGGCAAGTCGAGACACGTGTGTGGCCGGGACTTCATGACAGAGTTCAGAATTCTACATTGCATTCGATGAGTACTGCTCGGGCACAACAAGGACGCGCCACGGGACCAACCGATGTTGATGGTGGTTATGTTCAAACGCCCGTGAGATGATGTCCAAGTTTGGCAGACACAAGGGCAAACGAAACAGGATGAACTGATCGGTAAGGGGCCGTCACGGTCCGTCCCCGGGGTGTCAGACCCAATGATGCAGCACCGAAACACGATGAAACACGAGATGATGGGTGAACGATGATGAAGGTCACCTCTCCTCACGCCCCTGGAAGGCCTCGGTGAGCCCCTGCTGTACTATGACACTCCTCGTGATACGGGGTCCGCTCGTAGCGCAGGCAGCATTGTAATGGACAGCCAGCAGCAGAGCACTTGAGAGTGGAGAGAGTAGGCTTATGAATGCCGCACCAATCATGTTTCGTGCCGCCGACCTTCATCGTGCTTATGCTGGTTCGCAAGAGTTTGGTTTTTGGGAGGTGTCGAGATCCATGTGCCAAAGCCACGAGAGCAATATTGTCTCAATGTCCAAGCCGCTGATTATACAGAATCTTCAGATCCTGGAGTTCAAGCATCATTTAACAAGCAGAGGACAGTCTTGAGAAGCCGCGTTTCAGTCAGGGCTCGCTCCGCAAAACTGCCGACAGTCACACCAGGCATGCCACGAGATGCATTCGGCCGACATGCCACAAAGCGAGCCGACATGCAGGGGTGGCAACAAGACATTTTTTTGGTTCCCTGTCGTGCCACCACATCCGCCCTAAGCTGAACCTTGATCTGGCAGTCTCGGTGGTGGCATCTGGCCAAGCAGCAAACCAATCAGCCACGAATAGCATAGTATAGCACAAGCTGATGCGTGCTGTTACATAAAAGGAAACGCAGTTCAAGCTGTGGTGTGTAAGATAGCTGCACAAGGTAATTGCTGGCTTGGTTTGATGGAATCAGAAATCGATATTCAATGCTCAATCGCAGTTTGAGAGCGTGTGCAGTCGGCAGTTTCCTTTCCTTTGGCCAGCACCTCTAGGAGGTCGAGTAATGGCATGCAGGCCGCGTGCAGCACTTCATTTGGGCTGCGCCCGAAAACCCTTGTCTTGTCTTTATTAGGCGCTGAACCGTAACATTGCAAAAGATGCGGAAAGGCCATGCGTGCGCAAGCCCAAGCGTGGCCCAAGGAGAAGCGCAGCGTCTAAAGTTGTTAGGGATATCCTGGAGTTTCGTATCATGCGAAGGCATTATTGCCCCAGCGGCCAAAACTAGGACGACGGAATATTGGACAGCACCCATTTGACCTCGTCGCGTGAGGAAAGCACACGACGGTCAATGGCTGTACCACCTTGCCAGTGAAGCGAAGTCGACACCTCGCGTCAGCAGTTCCTGGGTTCGTGTTATTAGTGTTATTAGTGCGATTTTTCGACGACGACAACCACGACGAGCACTGGAGCTGCTCTTACTGTTGGTGCGCAAGCTGCCGCTAGTTTTCGTTGCACATGCTACTGCTGCTGTTGCCCATGGCAATGCCACCGCTCCGGCTGCTGCCGGCGACACAACAACAACAACAACAATAACAATAACCACGACGACGACGACGACGACGACGACAAGAACAA